ATTTATTTACATTTTTTAATATATATAACAAATATTAGTAGATGAATATTAATATTAAAAAATTATTTAATATAATTTACAATAATAAATTATAAAATCCTTTGTAGATCAATCAATCAAAATTTTTTGTTTCTTCACAATCGATCTCGGGAAACTTGACGAAATCGGCTCTCGATAGAAGCCAAGGAGAGAACATCTCGCCACAAAATCGCTGTTGCGCTATAATTGAGGAGCTGATGGATGAGGAAGCGGAATTGATCGGAGCAAATAAAGAAAAATACATCATTAACTTGGTATTAAAATACATATTAAAAATACACTAGTGATCATCAGTGCATCACCAACCTTGAAACGCAAAGTTTGGTGATAAATGTTAGCTCATATTAATTTACAATTTACTTACATGTCTAAATATTTTAATATACTATTTAAGAAAAAAAATTATAAAATGAAAAAATTAATAAAAATAATTACATCTTTAAACTCTATCAGTACTCAAAGAATTAAGAGTTTATTCGGCAATCAACTTATAATATTTTTAACATCTGCAGATTATAAAAAAGAATTAATTAATTTACTTCTAATAAGCAGCTATAAGAATTAAAAGCAGATAGTACCCGGGATTTGGATTCATTTTGAGTGCAGTGAGCATTTTTCAACATGAACTTTTTCCTACTCTTTTTTCATGCCTTTCACACTAAGATTAAGAGGTATAATTAATAATAGTACTAAAATTTTCATGCCATAATGTTTCTTTTAGGATTCTGCTCTTGTTCTTCTCTCTTGTTTGTGAATTAGTATTCTTTTCATGGAAAAATTTCATATATTATTCTTTCGAGTCTTTTAGACATTATAAAGAATAACGAGTAAAGCTAAAGCAAAAACCAAGTCTTTTCCAAACCGTGTCAATATTAGTTGGACAGCAATTCATATTAACTATTTATGAAAGGGCTTTCTTTTTAGCATATAAATACAATATTTGACTAGATGAGATTTAATTGGTTAATTTTTTTGTGGCTACTTTTTGGCTTCTTTGAAACCCTCATATAAAGTATGCAAACTAAAACTAAAGCAAGGCCCAGGAACATTATCAAAACAAAAGAAATCAAAATGACAGAATATTAAATATTTATTTTGAACAAAAATGTATGTATGGAACGCAATGAATTATCTTCATACAATTATCTATCATAATAAGAGCAAAAAAAAAAAAAAAAAATCATACTGCTAACTCTTCGTTGTTATCATGACAAAACTTTTCTCATCGTTAATTATTAGGATTTGATGTTCAATTATTGAAACTAGAAGATTGCCTATTAATAAGGATGAAACTTTTTAATATATTTTTAATCAAGGATATAACATTTTTCTCTTTATTAATCAAAACTAGCACCTTTAAAAATTTATAATTAAAAATATAACTTTTATGATTTGAATAAAAGAAGTCTAGTGAATGTGCACAAGATTATATATGATTAATTAAAAAACTTTATGAAGATA